ATATTAAAAACATTGACGACAATAATATAAGGAGTCAGATTTACAAGTGAGGGACCTATCCCTAGGCTGAGAGTTATTCCGGGAAGGCCTGCCAGAAGAGATCCGTCTTTACTGCTTTCTTAAAAGCAGCAAGAACTCTACATTGTGGGAAAAGGTCTGCCCAAGGTGGACTTCCCCAAACTGGTGTCCACAACCATCTAGAACAGATTTGGAAGAAGGATGTGGGGGGAAGGGGAGAGAAAGCTCACAACTTTTTTTGAATATAACTCCCAGAATCCCTTATCAACATGATGAACCAATTCAAGGGTACGTCAGGTGGCAGAACGATCAAACATTGATATCACATGGTCAGACTAAGGGCCTTTGCAGACTGCCAGAAATAGTGCAAATTGAGTCCACTTTAACTGCCCTGGCTCTGTGCTAGGGAATCATGGGAACTGTAGTTTACTGTGGCACCAGAGCTCTCTGACAGAGAAGGCTCAATGTCTCAGAAAAAAATACAATTCCCATGATTCCCTAGTACTGAGCCAGGACAGTTAAAGCGGAATCAATCTGCACTATTTCTAGCAGTCTGCAAAGGCCCTAAGTTAGACTAATAAGTAAGAGCAAGAAATGGAATGACATTAGAAATATAACACTGAAATGATAACTATAAGGAGATTCCAAGAGCAGGTCGCTTCCACTCAGCACCAGCAATGAAATAACAGAGATTTTCTTCTTTGGGATACATGTGGTATTATTAAATTGAGGAATTTCATATTCTTCATATGCAAAGAGTGAGAATTATCTGCTTTACCATTTTACTATTTACCCTCCATCTCCAAGTATGAATTCCTAAAGAAAATCATACAGGCAGAATCACAGTAACAAATAAAGTTGCAGTTGATTCTTTTAGCTCAGTGTAGCTTACTTGAGGGGCAGCATCCTTGCAGAATTTCAGGAAATGGATTTTCCCAGCCCTGGTAGAAAATACTGGGAACCAAACTTGGGACCTTCTGAATGAAAAGCATGTGTTCAGCCTCTAACCTATAAGTCCTCCTCTTTCTGAGAAATAATTGCTTTGTGAAAACCATAAGTTCTCTTATCTGGGGTTTATAAAAGCAGCTGAACAACTGGATGTCATTCATATGAAATTCAAACCAACTTAGATGGGCAAAACAGCTGTACTGGACACATTAGCAAAGATGTATTACTTAAATTAATTAGTCTTCTATTGAATTACTGGTATATTTTTTCTTTTATTTGAAATATTTAAATTAAAAAATTCAACCCATCCCCAACCTGCTTTATTCTCAGATACTTTTTTTTTTTGTAAAAGAGAGCTTTTGAACTACTACTCATTTTTTTATCCAGTTGTCATTATTAAAGACTACATGAATGATACAACGCCATATACCATAGACCAGGGGTAAGCAAACTTTCCCCTTTAAGGGCCAAGGGACTTCAGCTCCCAGAATCCCAGGAGTTATTGGCCAACATGGGACTATTGGCCAACATGGCTGAGGCTTCTGGGAGCTGAAGTCCTTCGGCCCTTAAAGAGAAAAGGTTGCCTACTCCTGCCATAGACAACTGTAAATGAGGGAAAGAAATTCACAACAAATGTTTAAAAGAAAAGCAAAATAGACTCAGATATTCTACAGAGTGTGAATCTGCTCTTTTCCACGTTTACAGTGCTGAAAAATCTAAAATCTATGAATGTAAAGGGACAAGACAAAGGAACATTGTAAATGTATTCATAAATCTTAAAAAATGCAAAATCCAATCAAGGTTTGTGTTGTCATTTACAGGACAGTCTGCCTTCAGTGTACTTGTGTGTTAAAGTTGTACCATGAATCAGGATGTGCAGGAACTGCACCATTCTGCTGACCCTAACAATAAGTTTTCATACAGTAGCCCCTCCCAATTCGCAGGGGATCCTTTCTGGACCCCCCTGCGAAAATAGTGGCTCGCAAATATTTGAGCCCCATTGAAATTAATGGGGCACACACACCATTTTCCCCCCTCCGTTTGCCGCCTGCAAATGGGCAAGGGACATGGACTCAAAATACGTGAAAATGGAGGGGTGACTGTAATTTAAATCAGGTGGGCAACTGTGGAAGGTTAGAGGGCTATGTTAGCCCTCCAGGAGGCATTTGAGGGCTTCACCACCCTCTAAAACAAACAAACCCCCCCCCCAATGCCCTCTCAGGGGAGTGAGGTATTTTCCTCCATGTTTTAAGCCTAGGAAAAGCCTTTTTAACAACAGGAAGTGAGCAAGCATCAGTTAATATTCACTTCCTATTTAAAAAAAAGGCCTCTCCTATGGCTAAATTGGCAAAAGAATGCCAAAAAGGTGATGAAAATGTCCCCATTTACCCTAAAGGGTATTTGGGGGCAAAACATCTTTTCCCTTAAGTTTTGTGTATGTGTATGTCTCTCTAAGCAAGGGATACTAAAGAGGTGGTTTGCCCCTCCCTTTGAAATATAATACCTGGTATTCATTAGCAGTTGTCTCCTATCCAAATACTAACCAGCGCTGGCTTTGCTTAGCTTTCAAGACGAAGTGGGATCTGCTGCCTTTGGGATTTTTAAATCAAAGTTTTGGGGGCCACAAAAGCAGTCCTGGGGGCTGCATCCAGCCTGCAGGCCACACTTTGTCCACCTCTGGTCTAAATAATCAACCAGTTCCAGCAAGCATGGCATTCTTCAAAAATTCATGTAGAGCAGTTTGTAAGAAATGAAACCTGAGAATCAGGCACACAGAATCAAACCACCAAGACTGACCACCAGGAACAATGTTGTCATTGGTTACCCAACCCTCTTATGCTTCCCTCTTCCCTCTAAGCTTAGCAACATTCTTTTCAGAAGCTGAGGGGAACAGTTTTTCCCATTAATATACTGAAGTTGACTATCCTTACTGCAAGACGAAGTATTTTGTGGTATGCTTAAGGGGCAATTAAGACCCATTAGCCGACAGAGATGAAAAGTGTTAAAAATTACCTATTGATAATGGTCAACAGAACTGCCTACATTTTTGGATTCTCTTTGAGTATACTACAGGGAGTGCAGGAACATAACAACCCTGTAAGGTGTGACAGACTGAGCAACTGTTGTTGTCTGCCTTCAAGTTGTTTCCAACTCATGTCAACTCTAAAGAACCCTATCATGGGGTTTTCATGGCAAGATTTATTCAGAGGAGGCTTGCAACTGCCTCCTCTGACACTGAGAGAGAGATGCCCAAGGTCACTCAGTAGGTTTCCATGGCTAAGTATGTATTAAAACCCTGGTTTCCCAGATACCTACTACTAAACATTCAAACTACTAAACCACTTTGGGTCAAGAGAGAGAGAGAGAGAGAGAGAGAGAGAGAGAGAGAGAGAGAGAGAGAGATCCAAAATCATCCAATGAGTTTCATGGCTAAGTGAAGACTAGAACAAAGCCAGTTCTACATGTGAAACATGACACTATATGGGTAGTTTGACAAATACTTAGAAAAATCTTCTTACACTCTTCAGACATGATTTTCTTCTTCCATCTATCACCTCTTTAACCTGTCCCACCTGGTGCCACCAAAAGCAAGTTACTTCACACTGCTGCATGCCTGGAATCCACAGCTATCCTTGAATGACAGCTACATGCCAAGACAGGAGAAACTGAACTTCCCTGTATTGGCAAACAAAAATGCCATTTGGGACAAGCAAAAATAAATGAAAAGCACATGAGATTTTATGGCTTAGCTTGCACTCTCACCACAGCTTGATCAAAGAGCTCCCGTAGCTTCTGTTCTGATTCACCAGAAACTCCTGAAACAATCTCAGTAGCAGCTACTTTAAGGATTGGTAGTTCAAGTTCCTAGAACAAAAACAGAATCCCACAAGATTATATTAAGAAAAATACTTATCAAGTTTCAGAAGTGTAAAAGAGGTCTCTATAACACAGGGATGAACTGGAGAGTGGGGGGAGGACAGTAATATCACATCTTGTTTCAGCAGGCAATTTCTGAAAGCCATTTGCTGAAAGTGACACAATATCTTGCTGTCCTTTATCCAGAGCAAAGTGATTTTCATCATGTCAGGAACATGAAAACCAGTGAAGGGAAAGGAAGACAAAACTTGCAAATAAGAGTCCATTTTTGGGGTTTTGAGGAGTAGACAAGAACTGAGCAGCATAAGAAAAAATGCAGGAAGAGATGAAACATTCTAAAATGTTTTCCTCTATATTCCTGCAAGATCAGGCACTCAGAATGCTGCAGATTGTACTGTAGTTAATTGTTTTGTTTCTTGATGTAGGCTTGATATTATCATTTTATAAAGAAATTAACAGTATGTTAAAAGCCAGATCTACTGGTAACAATAGTATTTTAGAAATCCAAAGATTAAAATGATTTTAGTAGGGAACCCTATGAAATTCATGAAGCTGCCCTAAGTCAACAGGAGACTTGAATGCACAAACACACACACAAGAAACCAGTCTCCAGAGGATGGATTGTGTTAAAGGGTATGAGCCTGCTTTTCTACCTCATGACTTCCTCACTTGGGATTTTTTCCAGCAATTGGCTTCACTCATCTTCCCCTTTCTTTACAAGGGAGTGAAGCACACTTAGTCAGGCTCCTATAAATGGCAGCAAAATCTAAGGCTGATCCAAGAGAAGAAATTCCTCTGTAGCCTACAGGGGGTAGAGGTGAGCCAGCTAGATTCTGGCCATATACAGATCAGCTGAGAGAGCCAGTGTGGCACAGTGGTTTGAGTGCTGGACTATGTATGATATTGACCAGGGTTCGATTCCCTGCTTGAACATGAAACCCACTGGGTGACCTTGGACATGTCACACTCTCTCAGCCTCAAGGGAAGGCAATGGCAAACCTCCTCTGAACAAATTTTGCCAAGAAAACCCCATGATAGGTTCACGTTAGGGGTCAGAAAGTTGGAAAGGACTTGAAGGCACACACCACCACCGTCGATCATCATCTACTCTTTTCGATTCTAAACCATATATTGTTTTAGGAAGAAAAAAGAAACATGTATGCCAGATCATCTCACCCCGGCAATTGCCTGTGCTAGCAATGTTTTTCCACACCCTGGCGGCCCATGTAAGAGAAATCCTCGAGGTGGAACAGCTCCTAAGTGGTTGTACACTTCAGGATGACGGATATGTATCAGCATCTTGCATACTTCCTACAGTAAAAATTGGAAAGTTGGTCTAATTATAAAAATTGTAAGAGTTAAAACACTGAACAGGAATAATACTGAACTGACAAAGGTCATTAGTCAACATTATTGGTGTTGCTCTGTGCCTTCAGTACAAAGGCAGACACAGCACAGAAATAATACAGGGACAAGAATATAATTTCTGTAAAACGGAAGACTTCATTTTAGAACAAACAACATTTCTAGTACTTAAGTATATCCTTTCAAACTATGCTTGAAGGCTAATGAACAATGTGTATTGCAAACTGAACAGCCAAAAACATACTAATTATGGTTTGGAAAGCAGACCTTTAGTATCCCCCTTATACAATTGACGAAAAATGAAATTAAACAGGTTTGCAGAATTTAGATTTTCTTACTGCTGAACATGGATTGCATCAGTACCAAAAATAATGTCCCTTAGTAGAGGCACAAATCAGTACTGGTTATTATAAATATGATTTGTGGAGTTCAGTCTAAATACAAATGTTAGTTCCAACTATAGCTGATCTATTGAATCAATGGGAAAACTTGGAAGTTGGGACTAACAAACTGATGTAGGCCTTAAGATATAAAACCCAATAATTCAATAACAATCAACTCTTTACGTTTCCATTTAAATACCTGTATTCATTCAGTTCATATACAGTTGGCCCTTCACATATGTGGCTTTGATTATTTGCGGTTTTGACTAATATGTTATCTCTAGGAATCTCTAGGTCCTCTAGTGCAACTTGGCCAGAAGCTGACCATAGAGTTTTGCTGGAGAACCTAGAAGTTCCTAGAGCAAACACTTTTCTAAGCATCTGTAGGTCCTCCAGCATGATTCTATGATCAATGTCTGGCAGATGTTGACCACAAAGTTGCACTGGAGGACCTGGAGATTCCTAGAGGTGTTCTCTTAGATAAAAATAATAGGGCTTTTTTTATTTGCGGTTTTTCCACATTCATGGGGATCCTTCATCCCTAACCACAGCGAATGTGGAGGGACTACTGTACTGTTTTCATTTTAATTTACTTAGTCAGAGAATTCAGTTTATTTAGTTAGAGAGTTAAATCTAACCTTCAAGGTCTCATCATTGCCTCCTACATCCTCAAATTTCACTGTAGAGGTCTGAAGCTCCACACCTTTTTGTTTAACTGCAAGAAAAGTTAAAGTAATTGCATGAAAAAGCTGTTCCACTGCTCCCAACCACCATATAGAAAACACCCATTTCAGAAGGGACTGAGCAGAACAAAGTATTATATGTACAAAAATACTGACAGAATCAGTAATGTTCCTTTAAAATATTATAACCAAGTTTTCATTAAAAATATAAAAAAATCACTCTTACCTTTCTGTTTCTTTAAGACAGACTCTATTTCTTCCTCTACATCCTGAAATTCTCCTTTCCATCTTTTGTTTCGCTTGTTCCTCTGCTTCTTTGTTGGAGTCTCCAGAAAAGACACGTCTTTTGCATTCTACAGCACAAATTGTACAATGAAGAAAAAAATGGTTTTTGCTGACACAATTTATGTAGGAAGCTACCGAGCAAGCAAAAGGAGGTACGGCTGTGCAAATGTAATTAGTTTTTACAGCCATGCTTGAAAAATCACATCTCAACTTAATAACCTGAGATAAAAAAGCTATGGCCATATTATTGGGGGGGGGGGGAGGACCGCTTGATCCCCTTATAGTTTAAAGCAGGGATGGACAACTGCAGAGGGGCTGGGAGGTCACTTCCCCCCTTCAGGCTGCATAGTTCCTCCCAACAGCACCAGATCTGACAATGTATCAGTTCCAGTTCTGGGAATTGGCTGAAACATGGCATATTTTCCCAGTTTGTGGGGAGGGGGTGGAGGGCTAGTAGAGAACAAGGGGATGCAAACGGATTTGGGCTTTATTTCTGGGGGTTTTTTTCATCCAAAAAGAGTTAAATGGTGGGAGCAGAGCTGGCTCAGGGGCTACATTTTCCTCACACCTGGTTTAAAGTATCTTGGGAGTACTGCACAGCTGTGTCTGGCTCCTAAATCATTGTTCTTCATATGGGAAAAAACAGTAAAATAATTTGTTAATTTTTAATGTGTTTGGAAAAAAAGAAGTTTAACGTAAGAACTGCTTGAGGTAATGAAATTTAACTAGTAAAGGATTTAGAGTTCAGCTTGTCAAACCATGTAGTTTCTAAAAGTGTGGTACATTTTAGATATATTCTTTTATTAATTGTTAATGACCATGAGTTTTTGAGAGAAGACAGGAATGATTAAGATTGTCATATTAATGATAAAAAGGTTACCTCGGCCATCTGTTTAACGCCATCACTCTCTTCTTCTGCACACAGATCAATAAAAAAGTTTTCCTCTTTTCTGCTTGGGTTTTTATCAATAAACCATCCACCGTCTGAAATCTTGGTCTCAGATGGTATTTGTGGAGGAACTCTATTTGATCCAGGTATCACCATTTGTGAAGATGTGTTAGACTTTGTCAGCCCATTTTTAGGAGATACTGCAAGGCAGTCTGGATTTCCTTTCCGGTATAAGTTCAACAAAGATGTGTTCATGTGATTTGAGGGCTGAAGGTTGTAATATATACATATATATATATATATATATATATAGAGAGAGAGAGAGAGAGAGAGAGAGAAGTCAATAGAAGAATTTGACTCTGTAACTGTAACTATTTTTCTAATCGCATTTGAATACAGTTCATTAACTACAAACAAACAACACCAAATAGTACATTGATTAGTTGGTTTAAGCACACATTGAAATCACAATAGCTTCCAAAGCAAAATAATAAAAATTTTACAATTTATACAAAATTATAAAACCAATGAAAGACAAACAAGATAAAAAACAGAGGCAGGACAAAACCAGAAGACCATTAATAATAAAAGATCTCCTTGAAAAGAAAGAGAATGAAATCAACTCATTTCAAATGTAATGTTGGAGATTTCTGTGGATATCTTGGACTGCCAAAAAGATAAATGAATGGGTACAAGAAAAACACAATCCTGAACTTTCCCTAGAAGCCAAGCTGCCAAAACTGAGACTGTCATACTTCGGATATATCATGAGAAGACATAATTAACTAGAAAGACAAAGATGTTTGGCAAGAAAGAAAGCAGTAGAAAAAGAGGAAGACTGCATTATAAATGGACTGACTTAACCAAAGAAGCCATGGCTCTAACTTTGGAAGACCTGAGCAGGGCTGTTGATGACAAGATGACAAGGTTGTCTCTCAATCATAGGGGTGACTGTAAGTCAAAGTTAATGGATGTGACAGCACTTAACAATAACCTTAGAGATCTTGTTGAGTTAGGTACCACTGTGACAACAACACAGGACTGCAATGACTTCCTATATTAACTCCTTAGTACCAGGCCTTGCCTTTTCTTCAAAACAAATAACCAGTTATGTCTGGACACATAACACACTTGTTGTTAGGTTGTGCAGTGTTTCCATGGGACTAAGCTTTTTCCAACTGTTTCAGTCATATTCTCTCTTCCATTTGTGGAAACTATTTTCAGTATATTGCCTTAGGTATAGAATCACAGAATCATAGAGTTGGAAGAGACCACAAGGGCCATCCAGTCCAACCCCCTGCCATGCAGGAACTCCCAATCAAAGCATCCCTGACAGATGGCCATCCAGCCTCTGCTTAACGACCTCCAAGGAAGGAGACTCCACTACTCTCTGAGGGAGTGTGTTCCACTGTCGAACCGCCCTTACTGTCAGGAAGTTCCTCCTAATGTTGAGGTGGAATCTCTTTTCTTGCAGCTTGCATCCATTGTTTCGGGTCCTGGCATATACCTGCCATTGTATAGGCAGGTATAAATCCACTTTTAGATTATTTTAAGGCAAACTCATCTGCCCTCTTCTAGAGCAGTTTGCCACCTTGCGACCTGACACTATTCTCCATTTTATCACCATTCATACATTGTACCAAGACAAAGCAATGCTCTCTCCTGATGCACATTACTGTCTCTTTAAAACTGGAAAGAGAGATTATATGCTCTTCAAATACAAGGACAGAAAAATATTCATCATAGAGGAATGATGTGCCTGGAACACGTCTATTTTTCAGCAGACACTCTGGTTTGAGAAGAGTTGGAGATAGAGCCAGCTATTCATATACAGTGCGCCCTTAGTATATGCAGGGGATCCGTTGTGGACCCTCCCCCCACATATGGGAAAAAACACAGGACCTCAAGTCCCGTGTTTTTCTGTGGGCACGCACTCCTGCGCCCAGCACCCACGTCCTTGTAGATACCCAGGCTTGCCATCCACAGAAGATTAAAGCTGTGTATGGTGCAAGAGCACTGCAGTTGTCTGTGGAGAAAACAGGCAGGTTGGAGTGTTGATGACAGTCAATGGGAGTGGAGCTAGAAGAGGTGGGGGCTACTCCCAGGAGCGGGTATAAAAAGAGAGGCAGTGGCATGAGTTGAGGAAGTGTGTCATTTTACCCTGAGGGGGTTAGCAGCCAAGGAGGCTGGGAAGAATGCTGTGAAGTGCAGTTAGAGGGATTTAGTACCCACGTTAGGGACAAGAAAAGTCCAGAGTTAAGTGTATGTGGATATCCTGCAGGATATATATTGCTAAGAAGTGCTGGAGATTAGCAAAGTAATCTGAAG